GTAAAGCCCTGGCAGCTCTCCAGTAATGTCATCAATATGGCATTTCCTTACAACCCTTTCTGCAGTGAAGAGCTGCGATTTTCCCATTCCCTTAATCCTGGCTATTCTTAAATCTCATTCTTTGGTCATCTATACTTGTGAACAGTTTGTCATCTTCTTGTAACAGAAGTTCCAACATCACCAGTGTTCATTTCTAGTAGTGATCTATTGGAGACCAAAAAAAATTATCTCCTTGGTATGTTTGGCTCCTATCAAGCAGTGGCAAAGAATTTACAATCAACTGATTCACTCAAGTCTTTACACTGCTGAACCAAAGGAAACTGAGTTTTTCTTTAGTGAAAAAATAACAGCCTAGGAGAAAGTATAGGCCTTTCTTAGGTGTGTCCATCACCCTTCTACCCATATAAAGCAATCTTTTTGTCAAATGTCATCCTGGTGACATGTGGAAGACTGTGTTGCAGACAGAAATGAGGGCCCGGTCACCAGTTTGCACAGGGTGTTTTTATGAACAATAGTGTGCAGACTGAATTTTTCAGCACTTCTCTCTCTCTAGTAGCACAGCAGTCGGGACTTTCAACACAGAGTTTCTGATTACCACCAGGAAAACAAGTATGACAGCTGACAATGGAGACTAGAAGTTCTTTGTAGCATTCCACTGCAGGGACTGGGACCAGTGCATGCAAGTTGATGGCAACCTTCAGCCTCTTGACTACAGTGAGCCTGGTGCTCTTTTTACACCATGAGCAGAGGAGGCCTCCTTGAGCCTCTCATCCTGTGGCACAGAACAGCAGAGGAATTCAATAAGCAAAAACAATTTTCCTTTTGCTATATTGAGTCTTGCAGCATTCATATGATTGGCCATGGAAAAATTGGACTAAGGAAGCAGATAAGAACAAAGAATCTTACGTATAGATAACGTGGCAAATGGCTACTGTCCAGAGCACTGCATGGGGGAAGGTGTTGGTCTGTGTCATGTCCCCAGGTCCACCAGCAGGCTCTCTAGGGCTTTGGCTACCTGTGCTGAGGGACAGCTTTGGTTCAGTAAAGCTCTTCAGCCTTGGAGCAGACTTGTGTGAGAAAGAGCTCTGTTGTTAGAAATACCTCTGAGGAGCCTTCTTGGAGCTTCACCCCGCTTCAGCTGAGAGTTGCTTTTAAGTTTGGATCCTTGCTCTTGGTCCTTGCTGAGCTTTATGGATATGCATATGCATGTGCCACCCAGTGTATCTCCCTCCCTGCTCCTGACTCACTGACTTGACTTCTAGGCTTGGGATCATGGTTACTGTCACTGGACCTGCTTTGCTCTTTTCACTTGGACCCTGTGGAAACACAGTGCATTTCAGTGAGGCCAGTGCTTCTGCTTGCCTTGTTGTCACCCTTGGCTCTCAGCTTGCCTTTCCTCTTGGAGCAGCACCTGCATTTGCTGTCCACTGACACCTAATATTCATGACGGAAAAATGACCTGAGTTAATCTCAGTGCAAGGTAGACTAAGTCTGTTAGTTGTGGAAACTGGCTCTTAGATGTGAGAGCTTTGATGCATCCTTCTTACCTAGTCCTGAGTCATGTTAAGTCCCAGCCCTATTGAGTATAAACTCAATTTTTTTATATACCAAACCAACAAACCAGAATCACGGAAGAACTACCTGGATTTTATAAAGTGGATTAGACTGGCAGACACTTGTCACCAAAGGTGCTGCTCAGGAAAGAAGCTTACATACTGGACCCTTGATCATCCTCACTGCTTAATTAATAGCTCCTTTTCTGCCTCAGTTTTGGACCACTCCAGAGCGCTCTGTTAACCTGGTCTGAGACAAGGTTCCTGTGGAGGGTAAGAAGATGGGAGTTCATCTGTGCTGAGAGTGCTTATATTGTGAAACACATAAATGTCGGTTGCTGATTCCTCAGCAGGGGCTCTCAGATGGTTTAGGAGCATCACTGAAGTAATTTCACCAGATTACGTATCTTCATATGAAGTCTTCCTGACTTGCACAGTAATTATGTTAGCACAGTCAAAAACTACTGTAATACAGAAATCATCATAAAATTATGAAGAGGAGGTCTTAAAAATAATTTCTGTGAAGGAAGGTGGAATATTGGTCTGGAAATGTCCTTTTGCACATCTTTAAACTGGAATTTGCGGCATTTACTCACTTTAAGACTTCTTTTGTTTCCTTTGGGTCAAATTAAAATTCACATATCTTCATGTATTTCTGCTGTGATAGTTAAGGTTGTCTTAAAGTATTTAGAGTCATTGTCCACACTGGAGTTCCGTAGCCTTGCTCTCCATCTTCTGTGAATCTGAGACCTAAGCCGCACTTCCTAATTTTTCCTTATCTTTCCTATATGGGATTGACCACAACACCAGTCCCGTAGTTCCTGCTGCAGTCTGTAAACCTCTGTCATGTAATTAGAGGCAAGCCAACAGTTTTCTTGCAGTGAAGATAAAGAAGCTTTAATGTGCCTAGTATCTGCCCACAGATGAGAAGTGGACCATAATGTTGGGATTAGTCCTAAACATCAGTTTAGGACTAATACTATTAAGAGTTTCATCCTTTAATACTTATTATTGGTTTATGTTGGATATTCTTATCCCATTAACATAGCTAAGAACTGATGGGTTTTGTTTGTCACAATTTCCAAAGGTAATTGAAATATTCTGAGGGCAATTGAAAAAGATCTTTTACAACTCTTTTGATCTTATTTGTCTAGGCTGTTATTTCTGAGAAAGGGTTAGCAGTCTTCACGTGAAACTCCTCTGAATACATCAGTCTACATCTGGAGTTTATCAAGATATCTGCTGTAAACCTTCAAAACTAAATAGTTACCTTCATAAGGAATCTGGGTTTATTATTATTATTAAAACTAAAGAAGTCTGTGTACGTTCATTTAAAATGCATTGTAAGTTTAGGATAAGGAAGTCGACAAATCTCTTTGTAGTGTTAGGTGACAGCACACAGGACAGTGAGGATGCAAAACCAAACCAGAATAGGCAGCTCGGTATTGAAGCTGAGCGCACAGCTGGAAAGGTATGTTCATTTCAGTCTTCAGATACACTGGAATGCTCCTAAATTAATGCATTTGTTGTAGATTTTATATTTCATATACATTATTCTGTATGACTTCAGGTGCTTCAACGGAATGTGTCATAGTCCTGTTGGCATTTTTCAGTTCACCAATTTAATGCAACTGACCCATGGAAACGTTATTTTCTTCTCTTTGGATCTTTTCAAAAGAATAAAAACAGGCAAAGTAGCATTAGTGCAGCATTCTTGCTGAACTGTAGAGCTTAGTAAACTTTCAGAAATTCGGATTTAATTAATTAAAACTCAATATAATTCTGAGTTAGGGGAAGTTCTAGATGGGGAAGTACAGGATGTGATTTTTTGTTACCACGGAGTAGAGCAGTGGTGTCAGTAGGAGGTCTGAGATCCCTCTCTGGGTTTAAACTACAAACCAATTCTCCTTTTTCCTACGCATTGCTGTTTGGCTAACACAAGGCTTATACAGAATCCGTTATGCAGCACACAAACCAGAAATGTAGACATGTCATGTTTTTTTTAATTCAAAATCACTAACGGTAGAAACTATGTCTCCAGAACCAGTGATGACTCCTAGCTATTGCACATCTTCACAGGGAAAGATGCTCTCCAGCATATAAGGGACCAGAGCACTTCAGATGCCAGCGTTTCAGATCTCGTGATGCCCCAGCTGGTTTTTCAAGTGTGCTGTTGCACTGCCCCCTTTGGTGTCTGATCTGGCTGGGTCTCCTCTGGAGAGAAGGAAAAAAAAAAAAAGGAAAGGGCAGGAAAGTAAACTTTTTTTTTTGTTTTTTTGGGTCAAGGAGTAGGTTTAGCTGATGATGATCTGATTGAGCATCTAATGCTCTAGGGGTACATAAAGGCAGGAAGAGCCCTTGCTGAGAAAGAAAAAACTCTCTTAAGAGGAAGGTCTTCTGAGAAACAACATTATAGAACTAAAATAGAGCATCTAGAGGAAGGAAGCCCATGTCCTATATATACAGAAAGGGAGGAGGATCTTCTCCATAGTAACGCAGGGAGCAGGGGAGGAGGAAATGGACAACACAAACTGCAAAAGGTGGTTTAACAAATTGTATAGAAAAGAGAGATTTGGAGTTTGCTCTTCTTCCCTGCTTGCAGGACCTGCGGTTTTGGTGTGAAGCAAAATCCCTTAAAAGATACTGAAGCTAATAAAACGATGATTATTTCTAGACGATTAACAAAGCTTGTACTTTAGTGTTTGTACTTTATATTCTAACCAGCTTATTATTACAAGACCTGAAGCTTGGTTGTTTAAAGAAAGTTTTGGTTCAGTGATTTACACCGTACATACATTATTTCTGTGTATTTGTATTATTGCAGTGTAGTTACAGAATGTGTTTGCACTGGAGTACAGCCAGATTTTGCAGTGGTATTTAATAAGCAGAAGTTAAGTGAGGTGGTCTGTGTGTCCGTAACAGTCATGTGGGTGTCACAGAAGTAATCCCTTGCATGGAAATCACAGGTAACCCAAAGGTTGGGCTTGTTCTGAATTTCCTGATGTGGTTTTGCTGAGAATCCAGATTTACTTCCACCCCCACCCCACCCTACCCCCTTATTTCTTACCTCTTTTTCCCTGGGTGCCTCCAGCAGCAGTCTTACAAAGCACTTGCAGGACCCCCTGTTGCATCTCTTGGCAGGCAAACCCCTGTCAGTAAAGGCAGCAGTCCTTCAGCCTCAGAAGTCTGGCGCTGTAGGAACCTGGATCTTTCACAATGGATGTGAAACATTTTTTTTCCTTAATTTAGAGTGACATTTCTAATAACTAGTAAAGCAGTAGCCAGTCCCAATTTTGACTTCATAAGACACTGCAGCAGGTTTTGTTGTTTAAAATGAAGTATTTCACTCAAACGTTTGGCTTTCGTATAATGTGGGATGCATGATTTTTTTGTTTCAAAATACCTGTAGTCCTTGCTGCGTAGACTGACAGCAGTGTCTGGTTTCAGGGTGGGATGATTAACTGGAACAGGCTGTTTCCTCCGTTACGCCCCAGGCATAATGCGAATTACCAGGATCATCGCCCACCTGAACAAGACACTCCTCCACCTACCGAGGTGTCTGAAGAGCAGGTAAACGTTTTTCTGGTTTAAAATGGCTTTAGAAAAACTGGTAAGGAATTACCTCTACTAATTTTTTATCAGCTGTTGACACAGTTTCTTTAAGCATTCTCTATAGCGGCACAAATCAGTATATCAGATAACGGTCAGAATACGGAGAGAGAAAATTATCATTGCCATCCTAACCAGAGCTACACATCAGCTTGGGAGTTTCTGCTTCTGGGTGCAACGGCTTGACTTTTGTAGCTTGAAGATGAGACAGTTTCACTAGTGGGGACTATTCAAATCTGGTAAAATGTTTCAGAGAAGGAAGAATGACAAATAGATTTCATTATTTGTCATATAGACATGCAGGTTTTCCTTCACAGCTTAAGTTTCCAATTCATTCATGTAGTTTTTGGAAATAAGACCGTTATGCCAGCTGTACACTGCAACACACACTTGGTCTAAAACTTGGAAGTTTCCCTCAGCATTGTGGTTGATTGATTTCACATTCTGTTGCCACAGAGAAGTTTGTGTCTTTTCTATCAAGTATAGATTTAGACTTACTGTACAGAGTTAGACTTTTGTTGATAGTTTTAGTCTCAAAAGAGAGGACAATTTACTTGGAAATTTAAGACTTTAAGATTAGTCTTATTTATGTATTCAGAATTTATTGCATGCAGTCAGGTTCTCCAGGTTGTAGCCTGTCTACAGATAGCTGCATTGGCCATTTTATAGTCTAAGGTCTCTGTTACCCTTGAATAAGAGTAGGTTTCAAGGGGGAGTTTTTCTTTCCCTTTTCCACTTTTTAGGGAGATAAATCAATACTTGCTCACACCACGCTGTCATTTCTAGTGAGTTTAAAAAGAGCTTGTCCCAAGCAGAAATCTCGACTGTGATTTCTAGTTTTGATTAAATCATAGAATGGTTTGGGTTGGAAGGGACCTTAAACATCATCTAGTTCAAACCCCTAATAAACAACTACTAAACTCCTACAACTCCTACTAAATGTTAGAATTATGTTCAAAGTCCTCAAAACTTTAACTGCACTGGTGGTTTTGACTGCAAACCTGCTGGGCTACATCCAGAAATGCTAAAAAAGCCAAGCAACAGAAGAAAAAAAAAATAGAAAACCCCCACACCAAAGAACACTTTCTGAGACAAAACCCAGAAACTTGGTTTTGGCTGGCCTGAAAGCCTACTCATTGCCAGGTATGGGATGGACTGAAAGACTTTCCTGCTGGGTTGGTTTGTTTATTTGTTCTATTGGCAAATTCTGCTTATGGGAAGTTTTATTGCAGGGCTGGAACTAATGAAATAGTGATTAGTCTAACTTATGCTGGAGTCTTACCCAAAGTCTTTAGGCCCAGATCTATGACAGCAATATACACTGATATTTTCTCATGCATTGAAGTTATAGAGCTCACCTGATTGCTGTCGTTTGCAATGCTCTTTAGCTATCCTGCAGAGAGAAAAAGTCATTTAGGCATCTTTGATTTCCCAGGACTGGACTAATAATGGCACAAGTTGTCTTAGAATGGAAGAAATGGAATTTTTTCTCTGTTCTTCAGATTAAAATGTGCAAGCATGTGCAATGCTTTTGGTACAAAAAATCTCTGCATTTCTTGTGTTTTTTTTAGCATCTTAAATTACCATTACCAGTATACATCTTAGCTTTCTGGAGCTGGATTCAGTTCCTGTGGTTAAAATATACTCAGATGAAAAGGGCTTTTTGTTGCTACAATCTATTCCCTGTGATGCTCATTGGATATTTTTGTAAATAGGAACATTGCAAGTCCATCTACCACTTCTTCAGGTTAGAATTTATGGCAACTGCAGTAAAAACCTTTCTTCTGAAATGTATTTCTGTGGTTAGCTTTTATTCCACTGCCTGCCCTTTTTCTCATAAAAAACACAATCTTAGATGAAAAATCAGACAGAGGAAGCTTTAGAAAGTTACAGGTTATGAAATCCAGTCTGTAGTTAGACTGTCGCTGCGGAGGTGTCGAAAGTAACAATTCATTTCTCTCTCTGTGAGAAGATGAGAAACTGACATTGGGTTGTGAGGGGAGAAAAAGGGGAAAGGCACTAAAGTGGTCAGTACCATATTTGACATCCTGACAGCCAAGGCAGCAGTTTGCAAATGCTCTGTGACGGGGCACTTAGGTTAAGAAGAGGACAAGCCCCACCTCCAGGCACACTTGGCAGGAGTGTATTTATTTGGCACTAAGCCGCCAAAGCAGAGGAGGTTAAAAATATTAAAAATACTAATTTCTGGAGGTGTCTTAGAAGAAGGTGAGGTGTCTTTTAATGGCACCTCTCTTTTAAAAGGCAGTTAAAGTACAAGCTCACATTGCTCTTGCACCCTGGGAAGATTCCTCCTGAGATGTACACAGCCTGTGCTGCCCTCCTGCTCAGCTTCATTCTGCTTCACTGAGCAGCAGTAGCTCTCACACAGCTCCTGTAGCCCAGGACTTCCAGGTTCAGGAGCTGTGATGTCTGGTCATAAGGCCATTTGGAGCAGGATGAAGAATGCTTTATGCTGCCAGTGGCCACAGTTAATTTTATGTACCACTCCCTGCCTGCTCCCCCAAACCCTCGCCTTGTTTATGCACTTTCTTGAAGATGGACTAGAAAAGTGAATGGGTTACATTGTGACTTTCAGTCATACCTAACTGAGAACTGTAGATTTTAAATGTACTTTAGATACTTGTTTTAAAAAAATACTTAATTATTTAACCATAAATTAAATCTGGTGATACACGCATCGTTTGTGTGGCAGTTTTAACTGTTAGCACAGAACCAAAAGGTTAAGTGTATAAACAGGGATAGTCAAGTGGTTATTGATTACCAAAATCACTGTCTTAATGTGCCCTTTTCCAGGTAATTCTTCCATCTGATGTCATTGACTTTGTCATTGCCATTGACTGTTTTGAGACTATGTGGAATCTTTCCAAGAATTTTACAGAACCCATTCAAGTATTGTACTGCCTCTGTGTTTGGGCTAACTTTCAGTTTTCTTTTAAAAATCATCCACAATGAATAGTTTTGAGGTTTTAATCCCTCTGGAAAAGCAGGTCTTTTCAAGGAAAGTAGAGCTGAGGATGTCTGGACAGGTTTCCTCACCTGCTATAAAGTTCCATATTTTGGTCAGTGCTGGGTTCCTGAGGTCCTGTTCTTGTTGAGAGCAGCTAGCCCCACAGTCAGCTTGTAATTGCCACGTGTGGTGCCATACTTTCTGTTTTACTCCTCTTTCAAAACAGGACGGGCTGGGACATGCAGGCACAGAGTGAATAAAACTGGGTTTAAAATGGTGTTATTTGTTTTCCAGGTTGCACGTCTTATGGAAATGGGATTTTCCAGGGGAGATGCTCTGGAAGCTCTGAGGGCTTCAAATAATGACTTAAATGTAGCCACTAATTTTCTACTGCAGCACTGATGGTTTTCTGTGAGAAGGAACTTGACTCGCTGGGTTTGTGGACGTCGGGAAGCGGCTGCAAGCCACCTGCTGGGCAGACTGGCGAAGGTCAGTCCCCGAGAGCGTCGGAAGGGAGGAACTGGCTCCGCCTGGCTGGTGATTCAAAGGGATGTTAACCAGTGACGTGAACTGTTCCCAGGCCTCCAGATCGCTTGATGGTTTCTAATCTGGTTATCCTTTTCAGATTAACTTTAGTTTCTACTTATTACTGGATAGCACCTAAATTTATTTTTTAAATAAAGTAGGTGGGTTTTTTTCTTGTAAAGCCGTGTTAGATGTTATCAGACTTAATGACTAGGAAAAGAAGCTCCAACAACCACATCTCCATTTACCTATCAAAAAAAGTTGTTTTCTTTGTTTACCAGTCTAATTTCTCTAGCTTACGTGTTACTTTACAGTGTTTGATTTTCGGTTACAATAATAAGAGATTTGAAGATCACTTCATTTTCAGCTCAAGTAAAGGGTTAAGGGACTATTATGTCGTTCTTTGGGAAGTTTTATTAATGCCTGTAGGATTTTATTTCTTGAATTGATTTTCAAATAAAAGTTGCCCTTCAGCATGTAATACACAGATAGGATGAGAGAAAATTCATGTGCATATTGCAAGCTCTGATAAGTGACCAATGTAAATTTAAATTTTTACGAACTGAGTGAATTGCTGTTCAGATTCAGGTCATGAAGATATCCACTGGAAGCAATAAAGGTGAATGGAACGATAGAGTAAGATCAGAACTGAAGTGATTTGGGTGACTTCCATGTCTAATTCAGACAGACTTCTGTAACGATAGATGTATGCTCAGTGTCCTGTGTGCTGGTGTCAGTTTTTGAGCTGGCTACATACTGTCTTAAAAGAAAATGATAAAAAGCTAACTTTTCTATATATAGTTCTAATTTTCTACTGGCAAAGATGTGGATGACCCTGCCTTTGCTGAATCCTCACTGTGTGTATCGACTCACTGCTGGTCACAGGTAACCTTGAGGGTGATTCAGGGTAACACACAGGGGGTAACGGGATGGTGACTCCAAGGTAGCACAATATTGCAGTTTAGCTTGATAAATAAACTTGCTTGGCTTGACTCTCAGAAGTGCTCAGTATTAGCACCTTAGGAGTTTCAGGAGGCAGCATGGGAAGGGGCAAACATCTCTATAGAACCAAGCTGAAGTAATACAAGATTTCAGACTGCACTTCGTAAAACCAATCTGCACATGCATCTCAAGCATTTAATGTATGTTTCTGTATGTGCTTGTGTTTGTATATCATGTGTATATGTGTCCATTTATATACACACAGGCATATTTAATAGAGACACACATTTAGAATAAGATACAGGTTATCAGAAGCATAGCAAGGCAATAGCAGTTGCAAAGGAGAGGAGCTGAATGAATACAGGAGAGAGAAGGATGTTTTGGAAATCCAAATGAACACATGTCTACCAAAGTACAGATCTGCACAGCCTCACTTGGCCTGGGAAATATACTGGGAAATTCCAAGACAAGATTTAAGGAGGCAGAGATACCTTTCTTTTTCTGTTTTGACTGATAAAACTGAAAAAAGTCCTTTAGGCATACAAATCCTTACCCAGAAATGACATCAGATTTGTGCATTTTTTGGCACATGACATGATTTCTAATAAAGTCATTGTTCTGTATGTATTTTTTAGTATTTTCCAGTGTGTAAAATAAGGCTTCTTTTGAATGACACGTCATGTGTTTTCCAGGTCTTCGATCAGCATCCTTCAGGGTTTGGCTTGCTGCTGTGATCACATTATTTAGGCAGGTCTGCTTTTTAGTGGAAAGGTTTTGTTTGTGTGAAGCTGAGTGACTTTCTGCGTGTGTAGGCTAAGGACATTTCCTCAGAGAATTCTGCAAAACTGCTGTCTTACAAAGCAAAGGGCTAATGTAAAGAAAAAAAAAAAAACCTACATTAATCTGTATATGCAAACTAGTTAAATGTTTTGAAACAAGTACAGGTTTTAATTTGGAAACATACAGATCCTTCATGAATATTTTATCAGAAATAGCAATAAAGACTAGTGAATTTCTTCAGAAGTCAAATATTGTCCATAGGAAATAAAGATCCACCTAGCCCAGGGTAAATTAAATATGACCTGTGCTCTTGAAGACAAGAAAAGTGAACATTTATTCCTCAGAATTTTAAAAGATGTTGAGTGGCATCTGAGGCACACAAGTGGATATTCTGCAAGTCTAAATTCTTCCTGACCCCTGTGCAAGGGGTATCCAGATGTCACAGTCGTGTGGAAAACCCTGTTTTGCTGGGTATTTCACAAAACAAGGTCAAGCATAAGGGGTAAAATTCAGGTCATAGTGATGTCAGTTGAAAACTCCCCTTGACATCTGTGATAACAGTTTTTGCTCAAAATGCTTCAAGGGTTGTGATTTCCAAGTAAAATAAATTAAAAAAAACCCTAATATATAAAAGGCAGGTTCTGGGGTGCTGTTGAACACAGTTCCTGTTTTGTGCAGGAACCACAGAAGGAAGGTTCACGTTAGAGGTGGAAAACAGCTCGGTTTCCACTTCATAGTGCAACTTCCATGGACCATTTCTGGGAACAGAGCATGTTCCTCACAGCCTACACAGTGTATGTCAAATATCTCGTCACACAGTTTCTGTTTTGTGTGTGACACAGGTATTATTTTTCAGACAGTGACAGAATGCAGAATGCTTTTCTACAGAGAGGATTTTAAGCCTCTAGGAAATTCACACTGGTTTTAGTAAAGCCAAAATTTGGTATTTAGCAACAACAGTTGTTGCTGCTGTTAAAATTTCTCTACTAGACTGGGAAGTTCGAGACAACAAAACTGGCTGTCTTTTGAGACAACATTGAAGTCATTTATGGGGGACTTTCCTAGACAGTTATGTGATACATTGAAATGCACCTACAGTGGGGTTTGTAGTTGTGGAAATCTGCCTGATCAGCCACCAGGTTCTGAAGCCTTAATTTTTCCCGAAGATGCAGAATGACTGGGCTCCGTACCTACCAAAACCATTTTCTTCTCCAAAACAAGTGTTGAAGGTTGCCTGCTAGTTGGTGAGCGCAGGGACTCACAGATGGTTCCTGTACAGCCTCTGCTGTCTCGTGCTTCTCGGTGCCTTTGTGAACATGTGGTGGAGAAAATGTCTCATTATTTTGACTGGAATAGAAGAATGAGCAAGCAAAACACATTGGAAGGTACTGGGCAAAGGGCAACATTTTTGGCTCTCCTCTTTGTGTGTATGTGTGCATATGGGTATATGGATACGTACACACGTATAGATGTGTGTGTGTGTGTGTGCACATGTATATACACAGAAGGGGAGTGAGGGTATTTATATATTGGTGGATTTAACAAGCCAAAAGTTTCTTGAAGAAAATTAAGTCTGTACTCAAAGACTCCTGTCTCTCAGACGTGTGTGTATTTGGAGTATAGACACAGTTGCAAAGGCACCCAAATTTGACAAGGCTCAGAACTGTAACTCACATGGTAGCAGAAGAGCATCTGTTTGAGGGTGTATAAAGGCACAGTATTCATTTGAACTGACAGAGCGTTCTGATACGTAATTTCTTGTGTCTGTTCTTTCACAAGAAAAAGATCAGCTTTAAGTGGGTAGCTATAGGAATAAGTACTTTATATAAATAAATATAAATACTGTTTTATTAGGAGAATTACATAAACACACAAACACTGGATGTGTTTATATGTGTGCACACATGCATATTATATATAT